CTTGTGTAGAAAGAAATTTTAGTGTTATGGGAGACTTCAGTTGGAGAGTCGTCAGCACTCTGATGTAGTCAATAGTAAAACATATCATTAGAATTTCTAAAAATTATATGGTTTTCACATAAGGTAGTATCACATCTAAGGGAGTTGGCAAATGTTATTGCAGAGCCTTTGGTCATTATCTCTGAAAACTCGTGAAGATTGGAAGAGATCCCGGATGATTGGAAAAAGGCAAATGTGTAGGGTTAAAATTCTCTGGAATGACATTTTGGGCACAGGTGCCATTTTGAGAGCCATAATAACAACCTGGACTCCATATTGGCTGCCCTTCTTCTCCCTCCTTTTCCCACCCTTTCTGTGTTTTGGCGGGAAACCCAGTGTCAGGGGACCTATGTCTGCCCAGTGACAGCAGACAGTTTGCCCTGCAACTGCAGGTTACTTAAAGGCTGCCTCTGGCTTTGCCCGGGACTGTCCATCTGACTGGCAGCGTGCCGGTGTCATTCAGACGTGTACGCCAGACCAGGTCCACACATTGTAGGTCTAGGATTGTGGAAGGTATACTCACATGCAAGGAGTGAAATCCATTTGTCACTCCTCTCCGGTTAGGATTTACTTGCACCCACGACGGCGCAGGGAAAAAGGGGTTTGTTAGGCCAAACAGACCTGCCCAAATGAAGATCCAACTGTTCCAATCCTGCTGTTCCAGACATCTAAGATTGAGTCCGGAATCCAGTGAGGGTCCCACTGCTGCGAGAGATGGTACGATCCCTGTGAAATCCCTCTGATTTACCTGGGTTCTTACCTTGTACTTACCTTAAGTCGCAGTCAAGATTGTTTTGTTCTATTTCCTGTGGTGGGGTCCTATTTTTATTCCTGTTTATAGTTATACTTACCTTGTTTACTGTTTAATAAATCTTGTTGTTAGTTTACCATAACTTTCTGTCCTAGTCCTTGGGGAAGGCCCAATAGCTCCCAATGATAGATGTGGGTTTGGAGACAGGCCTGAAAGCTAGTTTAGTTTAAGATCACTAATTTTCTGGCTAACAAATATAGTGCCCATCTTTAAAAAAGGGAAGAAGGACAATCCAGGGAACTACAGACCAGTCAACCTCAGTCCCTGGAAAAATCATGGAGGAGATCCTCAGGGAATCCATTTTGAAGCACTTGGAAGAGGGGAAAGTGATCAGTAATAGTCAACATAGATTCACGAAGGGCAAGTCGTGCCTAACCAATCTGATTAGCTTCTATGATGAGGTGACTGGCTCTGTGGATATGGGGAAGTCAATGGATGTGATATACCTTGACTTTATGGTCTCCCACAATATTCTTGCCAGCAAGTTAAGGGAATATGGATTGGATAAATGGACTGTAAGATGGATAGAAAGCTGGCTAGACTGTTGGGCCCAATAGGTAACATTGTCAGGTTGGCAGTCGGTTTCTAGCGGAGTGCCCCAAGGATCGGTTCTAGGACCAATATTGTTCAACATCTTTATTAATGACCTGAATGAGGGGATGGATTGCACCCTTAGCAAGTTTGCAGATGACATTAAGATAGATATGCTGGAGGGTAGGGATAGGGTCCAGAGTGACCTAGACAGATTAGAGGATTGGGCCAAAAGAAATCTGATGAGGTTTAACAAGGACAAGTGCACAGTTCTGCACTTGAGATGGAAAAATCCCAAGCATTGTTACAGGCTGGAGACCGACTGGCTAAGTAGCAGTTCTGCAGAAAAGGACCTGAGAATTACAGTGGATGAGAAGCTGGATATGAGTCAACAGTGTGCCCTTGTAGCCAAGAAGGCTAATGGCATATTAGGTTGCATTAAGAAAAGCATTGTCAGCAGATCTAGAGAAGTGATTATTCCCTTTTATTCGGCTCTGGTGAGGCCACATCTGGAGTATTGTGTCCAATTCTGGGTCCCCCACTAGAGAAAGGATGTGTATGCATTGGAGAGGGTCCCACAGAGGACAACCAAAATGATTAGGGAGCTGGAACATATCACCTATGAGGAGAGACTGAGGAATTTGGGTTTGTTTAGTCTGCAGAAGAGAAGAGTGAGGGGGGATTTGATAGCAGCCTTTAACTTCCAGAAGGGAGGTTCCAAAGAGGATGGAGAAAGGCTGTTCACAGTAGTGACGGATGGCAGAACAAGGAGTGATGATCTCAAGTTACAGTGGGGGAGGTCTAGGTTGGATATTATGAAAAACTATTTCACTAGGAGGGTGATGAAGTACTGGAATGGGTTACCTAAGAGGTGACAGAATCTCCATCCCTAGAGGTTTTTAAGTCTCAGCTTGACAAAACTCTGGCTGGGTTGATTTAGTTGGGATTGATCCTGCATTGGGCAGGGGGGCTGGATTTGATGACCTCCTGAGGTCTCTTCCAGCTCTATGATTCTACTGCACCAAACACAAAGTAACTCGTATTGAATGAATCAGTGGACTGAAAGTTGGTGGTTACTTGGAGACTGGTAATCACAATCTGATTACATTCAGTATGGGCAAAGAGACACCCATTCCAATCAGAATAAAATATATAGTTAGTGCTTTGAAAGGGTGAATTTCCCAAAGCTGAGGAAATTTGAATGGGAAAAAATGTTAGATAAAACTCCAAATGAAAATTTGGAATTCTTTAAGAATAACTGATTAGATGTCTAAAAAGCTGAAATTCTAGTCACACAATAGGATAACTTTGATTAAAATCCCATTTTTAAGAGGACAAGAGAAAGCAACAATTAAAAATAAATGTATCCTTTTGGAACCAGTGTGTCTTTTTTTCCCATCCAGTTTGTCTCCTGATACAGTAGATGGATCTCAGTTTGACATTTACTGGTAAACAGGAACCCGGCATAACAAGGGTAGTGGTGGGGTGAAGAAGATAGCAATATGAATTAGAAGTTTTGAAGTATAAAAAATGGATAAGGGAAGCAAATGATGGCAGGGAACTATCCATGGTTGGTAGAAGTTATGAACAATAAGTAGGAGATATTTAGGTATATTAGGAACAAAATATAACAAAGAATAGACACATTATTAAAATGAAATGATATAATTTGTGTTAATATCACACAAGGGAGAAATGTGCAATAATTTCCAATTTATATTTGGAAAGATGCTGGATGACATAATGAGGCTAAAGTACTTTCCAGTCTATTAATAATAGCCTTGTAATAAGGATAAACATTTTTTAAAACAGCAGGCCCAGTAAGCCTGCATCTAACGGTATGTCTACACTACAGGGCTTAACTCAATATAAGCTACGCAAATTGAGCTACATCAATTGCATATCTTATTTCGAAAGAGCTTATCTTGAAATAGGGAGTGTCTACACAGCACTTATTTCAAAGTAGAGCACTCTTCCTCCGACTTCCCTTACTCCTCGTACAATGAGGGTTACAGGAATAAGAGTAAGAAAACCTCCAGCTTGACAGTATTTTGACACTATTTCAAAATAACTGCCTGCTGTGTAGATGTGGACCAAGTTATTTTGGAATAGCACTAGTTATTTTGAAATAGAGTTGCAGCATAGATGTACCTTCAGAGTGCCTTAGCCAACTCTTTAGAAATCCCTGGGCTGCTGTTACCAATACTTAATAATTTTTTGAATACTGGGGAAAGTACAGAAAATGCATTTTGGTCTTTGCCAACATTGATATGCCAAACCTGTGTTATCCTACCATGTAGTTCTGAGTGTCCTTTGTGCAGCACAGCAATATCTCTGAACTCCTAAGTAGACATAGATATACATAGGTTTAATGTGCAATTTTGTTAAGCACTTAAATTTGGCTTTCCTATCATTCACAATTGTTTGTGCAACCTTAATTCTGCCTCTTTGTGCATCTAGATTGTGCAGTGAGTCAGGGGTCTTACACACAAAAAAATGTGATAATGTAGTTAGACTTCATCATTCAGCGTATGCACATGGAGTGAATTAAGGTTGCACAAGCTGGCAACAAGAAAAGGCTAGTATGTTAGGGAGGAGGTCATTACAACCATGTGCTAGAGTATGGAGAGGATTGTGGGGAGCCTGGCCTGGTGGGCACATTCTCTTCTTCTCCCCCACATCTGTGATGTGGAGGCACCTGTCCAATAGGCAGTGTGGAGCATTGGGGCTGTGTTCTCTCTCTAGAGGCTGGAGAGATCCTGGCCCAGCTGATTTCCCCTTTCTCCAGTAGCTCTTTGATGTGCTCAGTACAACATGTGCTGCTGCTCCTTTGGCAGTGGTGCAAGTCTGACTTGGAATAATTGTCTTTTAGTAGTTTATCCTGGCAGGTTGTCACAGATTTCCTACAGCACATAAGAGAAGGGAAATGACAATTTCTTAGCAAACACTGAATGGACTTTGAGACAAAAACAGGGGCTTCTGTAGTTTGAGGGCATTCCCCTTGTCAAATGTCAAAGGCCTACTGAAAGCTATGAAAGTGTGCAAGCTCCTTAAAGAAATGGTGGTAAGGATATTTGATAGTGTAATGTGGGTGGCAAAGTAAATATAGCAATTGCTAACAGCTCTGGGTACGTAATGTTGTGCATTTAGTTCATTTATTACTCTATGCACTATCTGTTTTTGACCAAACAGCATTTCCAGTTACTACAATCAAATATGACTATTCAGTACAGCCACAATAACCTATACATTAGCTATAAGTAAGCACTAATTATAGCATTGCAGGACACTTGCTTGCGACTGAATTGCTGGGAGGATTTGATGCTAAGTGTTGACCTGCCCTCAGGTTTTAATGTTATAAAGCTAGAAGTTAAAATAATAAATGTTTGTGCATTCAGTGCTATGCATGGTTGATGTTTCCAATGCTGAATTGGTCACTTTTATATCCATTGGCTTTTTCCAGAGACATAGTGCCCAATACTTGGCTAGTCAGGATGTTAAATGTGTCTTGTAATAAGAACCAAAGTCTTTCTGAACTCTGAGTCATAGTACATTACGAGGAATGGAACCTATTTATAAAGGTTGGTGGAATACTAATCCGTTTACTTCTCTCCTGCAGATTCCATTGTGATTGGATTTTGGGTTGGTCTGGCAGTTTTTGTCATTTTCATGTTCTTTGTGCTGACTTTGCTGACGAAGACAGGAGCACCGCACCAAGAGTGAGTCTGATCAGTGTGCAGCAGCACTGTGATGCGCTGCTCAAATGATTTTCCTATTACAGTGATAGTCCCTTCTATTGCGTTATTTGTAAATTAAATTCTGTCCTACTATTAAAAAAGAGATTTAAAAATATATTCCTGTTGATACTGAAATGTCATAGAATCATAGAAACATAGAACTGGAAAAGACCTCAGAAGGTCATCAAGTCCAGCCCCCTGCTCTAGGCAGGACCAATCCCAACTAAATCAACCCAGCCAGGACTTTGTCAAGCCGAGACTTAAACGCCGCTAGGGATGGAGACTCCACTACTTCCCTAGGTAACCCATTCCAGTGCTTCACCACTCTCCTAGTGAAATAGTTTTTCCTAATATCCAACCTGGACCTCTCCCACCACAACTTGAGACCATTGCTCCTTGTTCTGCCATCTGTCACTACTGAGAACAGCCTTTCTCCATCCTCTTTGGAACCTCCCTTCAGGAAGTTGAAGGCTGCTATCAAATCCCCCCTCACTCTTCGCTTCTGCAGACTAAACAGACCCAACTCCTTCAGCTTCTCCTCATAAGTCATATGCTCCACCCCCCTAATCATTTTGGTTGCCCTCCACTGGACCCTCTCCAATGCGCCCACATCCTTTTTGTAGTGGGGGGCCCAGAACTGGACACAATACTCCAGATGTGGCCTCACCAGAGTCGAATAAAGAGGAATAAGGACATCTCTGGATCTGTGCTAGTTGGCCTTGGATCCTAGCCATCCAGCAATTGCTTTGATGAGGCCATAATACGTGAACCAGGAAATTTCACTGATCCCAACCTCTGAAGTGGAATCCCAGCTCAACCAGTGTTCACTGCAAGGGGACAGCCCAGCAGGGACTAAAAACTACTGCTTCAGGAGAGGTTTGAACTCACAACCTCAGTATGTCTCATACACGTACTGATTTATAAGTGCTGCATGCTGACCCATTGTGCCACTGGTGCAGCGCTTCAAAATACTTGTTCAAAGTCCTTAGATTGAAAAAGTCAAGAAGCACAAAGTGGAATTGAGCAAGTGGGGCAAGACGACCAATTCTGAAAGATTTGCACAAACCAACACCTCACCAGAAGGTATGAACTCAGCTTGCAGGAGTCAAAGTTCTGCTTTGTGCCTGAGGCTCTTGGCTAGTTGATGCTCTACTCTCCTTGATTGTTCCAATCAACTGCTTCACCCCTCTCTCCCTAGTTTAGTGTCATCCGCAAACTTGCTGAGGGTGCAATCCATCCCCTCATCCAGGTCATTAATAAAGATATTGAATAAAACCTAGAACTGAACCTTGGGGCACTCTGCTAGAAACCGACCGCCATCCTGACATCGAGCCGTTGATCACTACCCGCTGGGCCTGGCCTTCTAGCCATCTTTCTATCCATCTTACTGTCCATTTATCCAATCCATATTCCCTTAACTTGCTTGCAAGAATATTGTGGGAGACCCTATCAAAAGCCTTGCTAAAGTGAAGGTATATCACATCCACTGACTTTCCCACGTCCACAGAGCCAGTTACCTCATCATAGAAGCTAATCGGATTGGTCAGGCATGACTTTTCCTTTTGAATCCATGCTGACTATTCCTAATCACTTTCCTCTCTTCCAAGTGCCTCAAAATGGATTCCTTAAGGATCCCTTCCATGATTGTTCCAGGAACCGAGGTAAGACTGACTGGCCTATAGTTCCCTGGATCGTCCTTCTTCCCTTTTTTGAAGATGGGCACTACATTTGTCTTTTTCCAATCATCCGGGATTTCTCCAGATCTCCACGACTTTTCAGAGATAATGGCCAAAGGCTCCTCAGTGACATTTGTCAACTCCCTCAGTACTCTTGGATGCATTAAGTCCGGACCCATGGATTTGTGTACGTTTAGCTTTTCTAAATAGTTCCTAACCTGTTCTTTACCCACCAAGGGCTGTCCATCTTCATCCCATCTTGCGTCACTTAGCGCATTAGTCTGGGAGCTGACCTTGTCCGTGAATACACAGGCAAAGAAAGCATTGAGTACTTCAGCTTTCCCCACCTCATCTGTCACTAGGTTACCTCCTTTATCCAGTAGGGGCCCCACACCTTCTCTGATCACCTTCTTTTTGTTACCATGACTGTAGAAGCCTTTCTTGTTATCCTTCACATCCTTTTCCAGTCGTAATTCTAATTGCGCTTTTGCCTTCCTGATAACCCCCCGGCACTCTCGAGCTATACATTTAAACCCCTCCCTGGTCATTTGTCCAAGTTTCTACTTTTTGTAAGCTTCCTTTTTGTGCTTAAGTTCACCAAAGATTTCCCCCGTAAGCCAATCCGGTCTCCTACCATGTTTGCCTCTCTTGCTACGCATCAGGATGGTTTCTTTCTGTGCCTTCAATAGATAATGGAGATTGCCTATCTCCTAGAACTGGAAGGGACCTTGAAAGGTCATTGAGTCCAGTCCCCTGCCTTCCCAGCAGGACCAAGTACCACCCCTGATGAATTTTTGCCCCAAATCCCTAAATGGCCTCCACAAGGATTGAACTCACAACCCTGGGTTTAGCCAATTAGGTGCTTAAGACTCTCTCCTCAGCATTTCACTCCTGGCTAGCTTTGGCAGCTCCCCGCTCAGCTTGCTGGCTTCTGAAGATCCCTTTCTTAGCAACGTAAGGATCTCCATGCATTCTATAGAAAGTCTGGGTGCAGAGCTTGGGGATGAGGCTTGTGCTACATGGCAGGCTGCCTAGGGGTGAGGTGTCACAACACAAAGCAGGAAAAGTTCCTAAGTGCCTTAGAAGATCTGGGCCTTAGTCTCATTGAGCCTTAGTTCTCCATCTGCTTAAGGAGAGACTAGCACTTCAGTGAATCACAGAAGTGTTTTGAAGATAAATTTGTTAAAGATTGTGAGGGGTTCAGATCCTATTGCAAGGGGGGCCATTTAAACACCATAGAGAGCACTACATCTGAAATACAGTGCTCATGATCGTCACACTTTAAAGATACCGTAGAATAGTAATAGAAATGTAGCTGTGTTAGTCTGGTGTAGCTGAAGCAAAATGCAGGACTATGTAGCACTTTAAAGACTAAGACTTTAAAGTCTTTAAAGTGCTACATAGTCCTGCATTTTGCTAAAGATACCGTAGAGATGGTAAAGATCTACAGTTCTTGAGTCATACATGTCATGCCCCTATAAATGCAGGAATGTTCCCTACAGTACATGCTCAATACCTCTGTTCATTCCAGCATAACTTGATTTTTTTCCCTATGGTCTTCAGTCATTTCCCTTTAGATACTCCACTACTGCCAGATTTCAGCATTATAAAACTTCTCTTATCCAATCTTCACCATCCTTTGTTCACTTTTCTCCTGTTACTCCTGGTTATACTCTCACCCTCGAACTACCTTACAATTAAACAGTCCCTTGTTGTTAGTTAATTTTAGTTTGGAAAGAGGAATGCATGTATTCATAAACTCAGTCTTTCAGCCTTTTAATCTTTGCTTTTCTTCCTTCCACTTTATTCACATTCCCCCCATGGGGGGTATCTAGAAATTGTACCTACAGTTCTAGGGTTAGTCTTGCTAGTCACATGAATGTAGCTTAAATTCATGCAGACATTTCTGCCACTACATGGTATTGTAAATTTATATTTAACACCTTTCCTCTTTTGTGCACGAAGGCTTTTTCAGTCCACTTATTTCCCTACTGTTGAATTATTTCCCCTCAGTACTAATCTGCATTATTTGTTGAACTATCATTTTATACTCCAAAATACTTCACTTGAAATGCCAAATGAGATTCTTGTTTGCTAACTCCTACCTTTATAACTGTGGGTCAGTACATGAAAGGCGGTGCCATTTTGATGAAGTCTTGAGAAGTGTTTTGGTTTTATGGTATTAGACTGTACAGTATGAAGGTAGAACATCCTATAGTGCCTTTCATGTGCAAATAACTTTCATCAGACGATGACAAGAAAAGGTTGACTAGCCAAGCGTGCATTAACACCAGAAACATTTTGGCTATAATGGGATTCTGTGACCTGCCTATATTTAGATTCATGTACAAGCCTGTATAGACATGATCGGTCTTGAGTTCAGTGTTTTCTTGGGCACTCCATAGAGATTACATCATTCCTTCTGGTGTCTTCCCTAGCTTTTCTGTGCTGAAGGTTTGGGTCTCCTAGCTATCTATCCAATCTTCATAGCTATCCTGTAGCCCTTCAAGCCTTGTATAGTGTCCTCAGTTGGAAACAATGGATGGCTCCATTGAAATTAATAGGAGTTTTGCCATTGACTTTGATGGAGCTGGGAGTTAATGTAGAATCTGAGAAATATGAGCATCTTCACTGTTGGGCCATAGAGTATTTTACACTTTGTGTAAATAGTCATTGGAACAGGAGCTTGAGTCTCTTAGGAGAGTGCCCTAACCATAGGGCTACAAAGCAGTCTCACTCTTTGTCTGGTCCAGTGACTGTTTTTATGTACAGAACAGCTTCATCAGGAGACAGGGTGCAGGCTAGTCCAGAATATCAGAGCCCTGTGGTTAGGATACTCTCACTAGAAACTTGGACGATGTGGATCCAAATCCCTACTTTGCATCAGGCAGCAGGGGAATTTGAATCAAGGTCTTTGGCAGCCTAGGTGAGTGCTCTAGGATAAGGTTATAATGGAGACACCAGCTCCTGCTCATCTTTTTGGTAAGAAAGAGTTTAGGTGCCAAACTCCGGGAGAGGGCTGTGAATACTGAGCATATACAGGCATTTTCCTTTTGGCTTAGACATAGACACTTTAGCCCTCTTGAGGGGGTAAGGCAAGGCTACACCCCTCATGTCATTTCCTGTGAGGAAGTCCTTTGGCTTTGGGTATTTAATTTTATGAATGTCCTGGGAATTTCTTTTTTTTTACTGGGGAAAAACCTAGTAAAATACACACAAGGGGTGAGGGGAGGGCAGTTGCAGCTGGGGGTGGTGGTGGTGGTGGGGAGGGGAGGTATATACACTGTGGGGGCAGCTGTGGAATCTTCTGTTCCAATCCTGTAGCAGTTGGGAGACTTGGCTGCTGGGCCTGGCTCCTTGTGCATCTCTTTCTACCTGGCTGGATCAGGAGGGGAGTGAAAGACTATTTCCCAGGACTACTAGCTCCCATGCAGGGCAGAGCCCCCTGCAAATCCCACTGGCCATTTCGCACAGCTCTATTTGCTTCCACCATGAAAAATTCCCAGGTCCTGGAAAAACGACAATTTGCCTATTAGTAAAACCTGAATACTGGCTTTTTTAAAAACCCTAGGAATTTGGGGGGGGGGGGGGGAATCCAGCCTGTGTCGTGGGGGGGTGGGGATGAAGATCAGTAAATACCGACAGTGAGGGCCTTACCAGTTGCCTAGCTTAGGTGGTTCACTGCGCAGAATGCTGGTCTTTCAAAATCCCTTTCTTGGGCACCTGACTCTTCCCCAGGTATGGTTTGGAGAGCCCGTGCACCTAAGCTCAGGGCTGTAGATTCCGCTAGGCAGCAAGGACTCTAAACATTAGGCATTGCAATGCTGTGAATATGTCCCGTTTCTAGATCTTGTCCCTTAAACTTCAAAGACATCTATGAAACTGCTGACCACTAGCTAGTTACGTGATTGTTAGTCACAAAAGACATGGAGGCAGTGCCCATTACATACATCCCACTGGCACAGTAAATGCTTTGTAGAATGCTTTGAAAATGTTAAGTGCTGCACTAATTATTACTCTTATTACTTATACTACTGCATAAAATAGGAGGATTAGGGTTTTTTTTAAATCATATTGTATAATAAAATGCAATGTAGGCCTACTGGCATTAATGATCAATTCCAGCACTACATCTATGAGGGAGGGACTACAAACATTTTAAAACAGAAAATATGAAGCAAATAGTTGTATTTTAAGCATACATTAAATAAATGAAGATTTTTGTGTTTATTCCCAATTTTGATGCCTGTTGAAGTTACGTTTGATACTCAGAGGTAACCATTTTAAACTGTTATTTTTATTTCCAGGGTTATTTTAGTACATCTAATTTTGTGGGGGTTTTTTCTGCTCCTTCCTAGCAATACGGAACCCTCTGAAAAAAGATTTCATGTGAGTAGCTTTGTGGCAGACTTTGGAAAACCTCTAGAATCAGACAAGGTCTTTTCACGTCAAGTAGCTGAAGAGTCCAGGTCTCTCTTTCACTTTTACATTAATGAAGTGGAGCATTTGGACAAAGCAAAACAAAGCCATAAAGCCCCAGGTCGGGATAGAAATGCTCACTTCCAGGAAGTAGCTAGGAACAGTGGAAGGCTGGAGGAGGAGCTGAACTGCCTTACAAAATTTAACATCCCCAACTTCGTGAACACTGATCAGAATTCTTCACTGGGTGAAGATGATCTGCTGATTTCAGAACCACCAATCATCTTGGAAAGCAAGCCAGTTATCCAAACCTCCCGTCAGATCCTTGACTGAAACAAACCTTGATTTCTAAAGCAAAGTGTCTTTATTGTTTCTGTGGTATCAGGAATTCTTACCCAGCTGCTAACATCAGACCTTTTAGCCTATTTCAATAGAAGGTATTTAATATCTTACCTCTGTGTTTTGTTGTAAATATTGAACTAAGGACTGACCTTACTTTCATATAAAGTGAAATACTTAATAGTTTGTCAGGAGATACTTTTTATGTCACTGTTTCCTATGATCAGAACCTTCCTCATCATTGCTGGTATTGCTTGCTATTTGTTTTATTTAACTAGCCATAATGCCTATCCACCTAGTGCAGATGCGGCTCTTGCCCCCCAAAAGTGTGGCTCGCAAAGCCGCTCCTGTGCCCCCCCAAACGTTAAAATGTGTAGCATCCCCACCCATTTTTATGATGTTATTAAGTGATTTTAAGGGGATGAGATACTATGGAGTGGATACCTCTTTGAGAATTACTGATACTTTTGTAAATCATGTTAAATTGTCTTTTCAATAAATTTGTGAAGGCAAAATAATGCTTCTCGTTTAAGGTGTGTAACTATACATTAATTTAATTATGGCAAGTTTACTTTAAATGTTGACTCTGCTTGTTTTGTCTATATATATAATTTATAATGTTTATACATTGATCGGCTACGTCTACACTGGCGTGATTTTGCACAAAAACTGTTTAGTGCAAGGGTTCTTGCGTTAAAGTAGTTGCACAAGAGAGTGTCTACACTGGCACGTGCTTTTGCGCAAGAGCATTCTTGCCAGTGTAGACGCTCTCTTGCGCAAGAAAGCTCTGATGGCCATTTTAACCATTGGGCTTTCTTGCGCAAGAAATTCATGTTGCCTGTCTACATTGGCCTCTTGCGCAAGAACAGTTGCGCAAGAGGGCTTATTCCTGAGCGGGAGCATCAGAGTTCTGGCGCAAGAAGCCCTGATTACATACATTAGAACGTCAGTTTACTTGCGCAAGAACACGTGGCCAGTGTAGACAGGCAGCAAGTTTTTGCGTAAGAGCGGCCACTTTTGCACAAGATCGCACCAGTGTAGACACAGCCATCATGTACCTTAGAAACCCACCACAGATATCTCTCTACCTCCATCCGGCAGCTGAGAAAGTTATGAAAGCCATCAAACTACTGAATTCTGGCACAGCCAAAGGATGGCAGCAGGACTGTAGCAAGCCTTGAGGCCAGGTGTGGGGAACTTTTTTTTAGTCAGGGGGCCATTGACCCACAGAAAAATCAGTTGTGGGCCACACACAAGTGAGAAGCAAAAACACCTCCCTGCTATGGCCCCCAAGTGAGAAGGTGGGGAGGGGGAACTTCACTGATGTGGCCCCCAAGTGAGAAGCAGAAAAAAAGGCATTGCCTTTTAGCCTGCGATGGAGAGGGGGAAGGATGACAAAGTTCAGAGCTTCCCCAAAAAACTGGATTAATGCATGGGGAGGCACTCCTAGGCTCCAGAAATGAGGGGTTGAGTGTGTGGGAGGGAACTGCCAGGGAGAGCACTAGGGGTGGGGCCTCAACAGGAGCTAAAATGTGGGAGGAGCAGGGGATTAAGGTGCTTACCTGGTGCAGCTTCTGTTTGGTGGTGTCACAGGTGGTTCCGTGCTGCCTTGTTCTTGTAGGCATCCCCCTCCCCACTCCCACTGGTTGTGATTCCTGGCCAATGGGCATGCCAGGGTGGAGCCTGCAGGCAAATGCACTGACAGCTTCCCCGTGCTGCCGTTCCCCCAACTGCATGGGAGGGGAATGGCAATGCACAGAGCTGCTTCCTCCCTCATGGCAGACAGAACCAACCATGCAGGGGCTTCATGCAGGCTGGCTGCCTGCTGCAGAAGGAAGCAGCATGGAACTGGCACTCATACTCCATAGGAGAGAGGGGGATGTGGAGATCTGGAGACTCGCCATAGGACTATAGCGCTAGCTCACCCTACTGTGGGGAGGAGGAGGAGCCCTGAGCCTTGCTCTGCTTTGTACAGTGGGGGAAATATTAGTTTGTGTGCTATGGAACAGACTCATTGCAAACATAGCTGAGGAGAAATTGCCAAAGTGCAATGGCAAGAAAACCAATTTGTGGTACTATGGACATGATCTTTGTTATACGGCAGACCCGGAAAAAATGTTTAGAGCAGAACGTGGAGCTATATGCAGTTTTCATTGATGTGACCAAAGCTACAGTGAAGGAAGGTCTGTAGGCTACTCTACATAAACTAAGCTGCCTAAGAAGGTTAATCCAAATCACCTGTCTGTTCTGTGACCACAGGATAATGCAAGTGCTCACCAGTGATAACTTTTCTGATGTATTTGAAATCTCGAGTGGAGCAAAATAAGGCTGCATATTTACTCCGGCGTTGTTTGACTTGTTCTTTGCCTGTGTTCTCAGCTATGCCACCAGGGTATTGAATCAGGAGCTCTTTCATTTCGGAGGGCATTGCAGATCAAGATCTAGTCCTATCGGAAAAAGAACTGGGTATGCCTCCATCTGCTTCATGTTGCTTTCAGAAGAATAATCACACGTAAGGGTGTGGTGTGTGAGAACTGCTTTGGGTATGGAGTTATGAAAATGATAAAGCCTGAAAGATGTACTGGTGTGAAAGAGAAACCAATGGATGCCAAAGCAGCTGCACTTGGCCAACGACGCAGAATGTTGCCAGAAGTGTATACAGTGGATAGAATTCAACCAGCAATCAGTCATAGTTTGCAAACTAAAGCCATGACATTTTATCAAGAACAACCCACACAAATTTAAAAGCCTTGCCAATTTTGGCATAGTGGTGGATTTTTGCTGATTTCAGCTGTGCAGGAGCTTCTGATAACCCAACAGCTAACTCAGCAGATGTAAACAATGGGCAATATAAGCTTTTTTGACACAAACAGAACTGGAACCAGGATTGCTACTTGGGAACAAATCCACACAAACACCTTCTGACCCCGCTCAGCTTATGATAGTCTTGTGCAACATGCCAAGTATGCAGATTATCAAATCTTTATCAGGAACCATGCCATGGAGGCCTGACCTGATAGCTCTTTCACTCTCCTCCCCCATGGGCTATGAAGACAGCTGGCATCACAACAAGGATGGACAGTTTTCTCCAATACTAATGACACAGACACTTGCCTCTAAAGCGGACCTGGGACTTATTTCATGTACGTGAAAAAAGCCAAGTGTGAAGACAGTTGTAGTTGTTTGACAGAGCATGGTGTACATATAGACTTGCTTGTGTACTGGTGGTGAAAACTGTTTATATTCACCATTAAATTGTGTCAATCCAGATGGTTTAGACCAGGGTGGGAAATAATTTTTGGCCGGGGGCCACTTCAAAATTTTTTGAAGTGTCCCTGGGCTGGGCCTAATTTGGAAGGGGCAGGGCCAGAATGCTTTTGGGCTTCCCCACCTCCAGACCATCATTGGTCCAGGGGTGGGGGAGCCCCTTTACCCCCCCTTCCCACTAGGCACCCATGCCCCTGGCAGGGCAGGAAGAGGCTTCACATGCTTCCCCGCCCCCAGGCCAATCAGGGCTTGGGGGCAGAGGAGCACGTGACATCTCCTTCTGCCCTGTGAGCAGCACGTGGTGCTTCAAAGTGCTATGTGCTGCTTGCAGGGCCAGGGTAGGGTGGGAGGGAGCTTTGTGTGCTCCCCTGCCCCCAGTTCCTAATTGGCCTGGGAGCAGCAGGGCCTGATTAACCCACTTGATGGGCTGGATCTGGCCCACGAAGGCCCTTTTGCCCACCCTTGTATTAGACAGTTGGAGAGAGAATATTTTTTATTGGGACAATTTATGTAGGTGAAAGAGAAGTTTTTGTTTGATCTTCCACAAATTTGTTTGGGGTTGCCGAGGGAAAGCCAAATCACTTGGGGATTGCATATTTATCAGGAACTACTGTAAGGCCGACCACAATATTTCTTGAGTCCTAAGATGCTTGAAGGGGACAGGAAAACTAGGTTGTTTGTGTGCTCTAATCCTGTTTGTATGATGGATGGTGGTTTGGCAATGAGCTCTTTCCTCCATCTTACCTGATGAATGGAAGGTGAACTTTACTATACTGTTTTGCAAAGTCTGTATTTGATGCAGAAGCTGCTTGTGTTCAGGGTCTGCTGTGGATATTGCATGTATTTGGTACCACTGTTAACAGTTTTAAAATACTTAATTTTATGTTGGAATTAAATCTACAGCTGTTAGATCAAAATCTGTTGTAGCTGTATTCTTCAGCAGTGATGAGGGGAGGGTGTTGCAGTGACTGGCGGTCACTTGAGAGCTTGGGAATACACGCCATAACTGCACTAATGTATTTTGATACTAAACACAAAGTTTTTACAAACGTATCCCTCATTATGTCACAGGTGGAGAAAATAACAGATTCTTAACTAAATAAGCTAACTACACTAACTACTTGACTAATGTAACTAAACTAAGTTGAGGTAAGGGAAGCAAGTGACTCAGACCACAGGCAGCTGAGCAGGAAAGGGGGACTCTGTACAGCACTACAAGTTATTTGCCATTACAAATGCATGATGGGAACAGTGCATGTGTAGCCCAGTCAGGTACTGCTGTCAAAAGTCTCTGATCAGAGATCCAGGGTCCACGATCACCTAAAGTGGAACACCTGTGTGCATCGACGTGCATCTTGATGAACCTCAGTTCCTGCATAGTGGGAATAACCCTCTGTCCCTGAATGGCATACTGACACTAACAAGTAGGTGGATCTTTAAGGTTTATAAATACTCCAGGTCCTCAACTTCAAGACCTCTCCTCAAACAGGACTTGAACCCTCTGTGGAGGTGTTCATTTAAAACTATATCAAAAGGAAAAGCTCCAACTGGAATGAACGCCTCTGCATCTTGCACAGCCCTTTTATCCCAATTCTGACCCAGCCAAACCATTGGCTGAAGCAGTCTGAGCAAAACCCCACCGCTCAAAGTCAAAAGTGGTATGTTGACAATATATGGCTATAGTTATGTCAATGTAGTTATTCTGCCATAATGACATGATTTATGTGCAGCCTACATTGCTGGAGGAAGGGGCTTTTCTGTTGGTACCTGGGTTAAGTGGGATAGTTACGTTAGTCAAGTGGTTGTGTTTTTCCACCATATTAGATAGATCAAGCCAACACCTGTATAAATATTTGTGGTAAACTAACTACTAACCTCAGTTACAAACCCATTGGAACTTGCCTGCATAGAGTAGGAGCTGAATTCAGCCCCTTATTGGGGTGGGGTTTTTTGTTGTTTTTTTGGAGACAAGAGTATGATGTGTTTCAGACAAAATTTAAGGGGTCTAACAGAGAATATCAAAGACTTTTAATAGGTAGTAAGGTAGCTTTTGAGTTGGGAAGGAAGCATTAAAGATTAGCTTGAAGAAGCTAAATAATTTCTATTTGATTAGGAAAAGACTTACCAATTTGCCATAGTCTGCCTAATCAAAATTGTATGCGCGGCATATCTGCAAAACAAGCAGCCTATGATGGACTGATCTGGTTGCTGAACAAGACGTGAAGGAGTAAGACACTGCTAAGAATATTTGATTCACACTGTCAACCACTTATATGATTTCTTACATGACTTAGCTATGCACATGTTTGTGTATTCTTCTCCCCTTTAAACTATGGCACATCAAAAATGCTAACTTGAAAATATCTGCTCAGCACCTGTTATAATTATAC